GACGGGGTCCCGCTCGACATCCAGCTGCTCAAGAAGGAGAAAAAGAGAATTCTAAACGAGGCGCGGCCCTTCACACTTCAGGGTGAGGTTCCCAGCCCATTTGTATTGATAAAACACGCAGGCGTGCGTCCACCCACAGCCCTGCACACACACCTGTGCACACAAGTACACAATCCCAGCACCCACTCCCCCTTTTCTCCTGGGCAGAAGATGGCCAGGCCTCAGTGTGGTGCCCAGCGCCTGTGACCAGCCTGGGGCAGGGACAGTGATGAGGAGGCCTGTGCCCCTGTGGACACAGCTGATCTAGAAACATCCGACTGCCCTCTGACACTGGACTCCAACGGAACCAAGCCACAACTGGGCAGAGGAAGGCAGCCAATCCCAGACAGCAGGAGAAAGGACGCAGCCCGCAGAGCACAGCCACGTGCAGAGACACACCTGCAGCCTCTGCAGCATAGCACCGGCCCAGGGAAGAGGCACTTCCAGGAGGAGGCCCGAGGGCCTTCACAGACCAGCACCAGCAGGCAAAGAACCAGGAAAAGAGGGGCCACCTCCTGACGACACCCACAGGCTCAGGGCCCGGCACCCTCCCCACGTATGTTCCTGGGGCATGCCGGACGGGATGGTGCCTCAAGGCTTCCCAGCACACACCTCACCGTCCAGACACCCTCAGTCATTGCCAAGCTGTGCTCCTAATAGCTTAGAAAATACGGTATTCGGGAAAAAGATTCCTCTGCAGGTGGCTCTGGTCAGGAAATCGATCATGAAACTCATGAAACTGCCACCTTCCCACTCGGTGCTGTCTAATCCGAGAGACCCGTCTGCCTCCTGAGTCTAGAGAACGCCTTCACCCTTCCCCGCAGCCACTCAGCTCCCACCTGCTGTGATGGAGGACGTCCCGGAACAGCTCTCTCTGCCCCATCTGAGGGCTCCTCAAAAGCAGGGTTTTGCCCCCACCCTGGAATCCCAGACACCCACCACAGCCCCCGCGGGTCCCCGAGAAGTGCAGGATCCCCACGCTGCTGGGATTCTAGTACAATGCTGTGTCCAGCCCACATGGGGGAGCTGGCTCAGTGACTTTTTTTAGGTGAAATAGTAGTTAGTCAACATCCTAAAATCTGGATATGCTTCCTAAAAATTCAGCTTTGAGGCATCTATGGAAAAAGTTTGCCCAGAGCAGCTGTGAGCCCTCGCTCAGCACCAGCCGCCCGTGGACATGGCTGCATCTCACTTTGCCACAGACCCCACCACTCCCTGTTCTCCCCAACGCTGAGCCAGATGAATAACGGACTCTGCAGCTAAAGTTCATTCCTAGAACGCCTGGCTTAGGCAAAGTCCCAGCCCCAGACATGGCTCCAGAGGTAATCCCTGCCTCCTTGCCTCCCAGGTCAGCTGCCAGCCCAGCTGCTGACCCCCAAGGTCTCACGAGGTGGGTGCAACGCTGCCTTCTGGTATACCCTCCCACCTTGTGCTTTGTGGCAGGGGAGTCTGCAGTTACAGGAGCTTCTGTCCCCCCAGGGCTCATTCACTCAGACCAAACATTGCTGCAGCCCAGGGACCCCTTGGGAGGGTGTGGGTGCTAGCAGGCAACACTGTGTACCCATCAAGCTGGGCATGGGGAGGGCAGCTGGGGGGGGGATCTGGGCTGCTGGGGCCTGGGATGCTGCTTCAGTAGGGCGGCCACACTGAGCCAGGCATCCGCCGGAGTCCCCTGAGAAGTTGTGGCCTGTCCAGTGTGTGGAGCCTCGACGGAGCACCATGGATGCGAAAGGCACCCCCTCCCCACACTGGGACTCACCCCCTCCCCACCCTGGGACTCGCTCCTCCCCTCCCCACGCAGGGGCCTGAGCTCCATCATGTGTCCCAATGGCTCCAGGCACCACGGGCCTTGTCTGCTGAGAGGGCTCAGACAGGAGGTGGGCTGGGCGGCGATGTGCGCGGGGGCAGGCGTGTCCCCTGGCACCGAGAGAAGGTCACAGTGGAGCTGAGAAGGTGCAGCCTCCGCACTCAGGCCTCAGCCTTGCGGCCCAGGAGAAGAGAGTCAAAGACCGGTGTCCCTGGAGCACGGGACCTCCCAGGCTGCTGGGGGGGAGACAGAGCCTGCAGACCCCTGCTCACGCCCCCTCCAGGAAGACGAGGAAGCCTGGGCTGCAGGCTGGTGGCCGCTGTGTCCTGGGCCCCCTCCAAGCACAGAGAAGCCCCAAGCAGGGGCAGGGCAAGGAGGGCGCTGGTCTCTCTGGCGCTCGCAGTGAGCTGGGCGCAGAGCCCTCCGCCGGTGCAGCTGAGCAGGCGGCGAGGGGGTCCTTGCGGAGAAGCAGAGACCGCCCCACGCAGGCGTCTCACCACGGACATGGGCGAGCGCTTCAGCTGGGAACATTTTTCTTTACAAAGGATGTCATGACTGGCTCACTAGTGGTTAATAGCACCCAGTTCAACAATGACTTTACAATGTGATCACTGGGCCCCTTCCAGATGGCCCAGCCGTAGACGGCACCCCCTTCTCAAGGGGGGGCGGCCCCTGGGAGCCAGCAGGCCTCATGGGGAGCAGCCACCACCAGCCTCAGGAGCCCTGGGCCAAGCGTTCACCTTCACGGCAGATTTCAGGGAAGGGCCCTGGGCCTGACCCCTGGGCTCGGGGACGGCGCCTGCGTGCCACCGTGAGAGCAGGGCCAGGGTGCTTCAGGAGCTGTGCTTTAGGCGGGTGGAAGCCCCCAGAGTGGCCATGCAAAGGGACGCAGTGCTCAGCACTTGCCAACTCCTGCGCATACCGGGCCCGGGTCCAGGTTCTCGGTCCTGCGTCTGGCGCCCTCCACACCCTGGGCTCCCGGGAGGCTCGAAGGACAGCGCTGGGTGATGCCGCACGCGGGGAAGGCTCAGCCTGCGCTGCTGCTGCGACTGTGAGGACGCCGGCTTCGCCGTCACAGAGCCCGGGTCCAGGGGCGCAGGACGGGGCTGGCGCAGGAGGCTACGAGGCAGCGCGCGGAGGGGATGCGGCGGGCGGGACTCCTGGGCTAGGAGGCGGCTGAGCCGGGCAGCCGGAGCCCTGCAGCCTGGACGACCGCCTCTGATGGGGTCGGGGTGGCGGGTGCAGGAAAGTCCACTCCGAACCTCCTGCCACAGGATGGTCCGGAGCCCACTGCACTGGGGTCGCTCAGGAAAGAGGAAGAAATGCAAACGCCTCAGCGTGGGGCAAATGCATTCTCCCAGACTCCTCCTCCCTCCGGCTGATTATGCAGATAGTGCAAACTCGACCTGCAAACTCCGAAACAGTGGGAATCGGAATGCGCTCCCCGCGACCTTGCAGCGCCATCAGGCCCGGCCAGCACGTGGCGCCCTGACGTCCCTCCGCGCACGTGTCAGAATGAAGGGCCTGGAGGCACCTTTCGAAGCCCTAGGCCGGTGTTTTGATTGTTGGTTGGTTTGGCTTCTCAGCTCCCTCCTCCCGTGTGTCCAGAGCAGGTGGAGGATCCCCGTGGCGCTCACGCATAGGACCTGGGGAGACCACCACGGGCTTTACAGAACCGCAGTCCTGCTGGAGACGCTCTCCTGGGGTCATTCCTTTCCCCCCACCCCTCCTGGGGTCATTCCTTTCCCCCCACCTCTCCTGGGGTCACTCCTTTCCCCCCACCCCTCCTGGGGTCACTCCTTTCCCTCCACCGCTCCTGGGGTCACTCCTTTCCCCCCACCCCTCCTGGGGTCATTCCTTTCCCCCCACCTCTCCTGGGGTTATTCCTTTCCCCCCACCCCTCCTGGGGTCACTCCTTTCCGTTTTTAGGTCGCTTCCTCCCATCTGTGCTGCACGCAGCGGCTTTTCTGAAGCAGCTGCTGGTTCCCACCGGCGTCTTCCACCCTCCTTGCCTGAGCGCCGTCTTTCCACCTCGTGCATTCTGTGTGCTGGGTCACCTCCTGGGGGGTCGTGAAGCCCAACCCCAGTTCCCAGGGAGCCACAAATCAAGGTGTCCTGAGCACACACCAGGACTCGGGAAATCACAGACAGCTCCCAAACCACTGATGACACCCACAGAACTCCAGTTAAAAAAAAACAAAAAAAACTGTGAAGGATAATATAAAAAATAAGTGTACAGTCTGCTTTATGATAGTAAATGAAATTTTCCCAAAAGCTTTCACCTGAAACTATCAATTACTTGGAAACCTTGTAAAGAACCAAGTGACCCGGGAGATGGGAAAGAAATCATGGAGGCTGGCCCTGGCCCGGGCCCTGTTGCCGGCTCCCTGAGGCCTGGAGGGATGGAGCCTGAGAGAGGAGCCCCGTCCAGGACAAAGTATGGGGGCTTCACTTTATGCATCGACCTGATGGCGCCGGGGCGGCGGCCGGGACAGTGTTTCTGGGTGTGGCTAGGAGGGTGTTTCCGGACGAGACTGGCATCGGAATTGGTGGACGGGGTGACACCCACGTGCTGGGCATCATCCAATCCTCTGACAGCCTGAAGGGGCCTCGGTGGAGGAAGGAGGAATGGCCCCTGCTCTCCTGCCTTCCTGCTTGCTCCAGGACACCTCATCTCACCGTCTCTAGACCAAGGTCTGAAATTTACACCAACCTCCCTCAGAGTGGGGCTGACTGCCACCGCAGGCTTTCCTGAGTCCCAGACGGCAGATCCCGAGACCTCTTAGCGCCTGTCAGTACAAGAGCCAGCTCCTCACAATAAATACGTAAATCTATGTATGGGCCGGGCAGAGAGACCCTAAGCATTTCTGTGTCTGCCTCGAGTGTGTCTGCATCGTCGTTTTGTGATAGACACTTCGCCTGCGTTAAGTGCAGAGGCCGCCATTCCTGAGACACAGGCCTGGGCAAAACCAGGGACTCCCAGATGCCCCAACGCCCCTCCCAGACACCGGCTCCCTCCCACCCACGCAGCTTCCTGGGAGCAACCATCGAAAGAAGAAAAACAGTCCTGTGGGGGCTGAGGGCGGAGGAGACGCAGCCGGCTGCCCTCCAGATTCCTATGCTGCCAACAGCTGCCCGCCGGACAGACAGCTCTGCCAGGGACGGTGCCCAGACAGAGGGCAGCGCGTCTTTCTGGGACTGAACCGACGCCAAGCGTGCGTGTCACCGAGCCCATATAACAGAGAGCAGCAGGCGAGATACAGGCGTGTGCATCCCGGAAGGGGACAGGCTGAGGACCCTCGGCAGACAGGAAAACCCGCCGGTCGCTGAGAAATGGTTGGAAAAGTAAGCTCTTTGTGATGTGACAGGCGCTGTCCTTGCTTGAGAGATTGGCGCTGCATTTGGGGACCCCCAAAATGTGAGCAGAGTACGTGAGATATCTGGCACAATACGTGAGCCCACCTGCATTTCGCTGGGGGAATTAAACTTTGTGATTTTGTTTTCCACTGGGATTCCTGACGTCAACGCCTTCAGGTGGACAATGTCTCCGTCACCTGCCTCCCAACACACACCGTTGTCTGTTGTCGTTGTTGTTTTGTTTTGTTGTTGTTGTTGTTGTTGTTGTTTTTGAGATGGAGTCTCACTCTGTCGCCCAGGCTGGAGTGCAGTGGTGCAATCTCCGCTTACTGCAAGCTCCCTCTCCCGGGTTCACATCATTCTCCTGCCTCAGCCTCCAGAGTACCTGGGACTACAGGCGCCCGCCACCACGCCCGGCTAATTTTTTGTATTTTTAGTAGAGAGGGGTTTCACCATATTAGTCAGGATGGTCTGGATCTCCTGACCTCATGATCCGCCCACCTCGGCCTCCCAAAGTGCTGGGATTACAGGCGTGAGCCACCGCGTCTGGCCGCATGTCTGTTTTTTCTGTCTCTGCTAGTTTGCTGGTTCTCCCTTTTGCTGCTGGTTTGTTTTCGTCCCATGAGGGTTTAAAGGGCTGCCTTTGGAGGCTAAGCATCCTAAGAGCCAAAGCTCTAACGCCCACGCTGCTCTCTGAAGCCCCTGCCAAGTACAGCCAGGTCTCAGCTGTCAGATGTTTTCCAGCTGTTAACTTGGTTTGAATCTGACACCAGCCCCGGCTTCACTCCGGGAGGCGTCTGTCCAGACACCAGAGGAGGCGCGAAGTTCCGGGGAAGCAACTGGGCAGGGTCCGTGCATCCCACCCTCCTCACTGGCTGAGTTTCCACTCATTGAATTTGCGCCAGCGTCCTCAGCACAGGCAGGATGGCTGAGTTCAGTCCCTTCGTGATCAACTTTGCATGTCTAAGTTTCTGGAACAAAGAGCATGGCATCGATGAGCGATTTCTGTGGCCCTCCAGGGGCAGCTCCCCAGCAACGCGCCCAGCACCCACATCACAACAGGCTGCGCAGGCCGCAGTGTCCGCACCTCTGCAGCTGGAAGCCCCCAGCCAGGGGTCACATCAAGCTCCTGGAAGGAGTCCCCAGCCCCTGTTCACTGCAGCCTGAGCCGAGCTCCAGAAGGCAGCCTCGCCCTCTCCACCTGAAGCAGGTGACGTGTTTGCAGCAAACGAGCCCGCGGGTCTTAGCTGCCTGGTTTTCCCCTCGGGCCACACTCCTGCTGCCCGTGTTCCTCCCCAGCAAGAGAGAAGCGTGGGGGGCGGGGAAAGAGAAATGCCTCCAAGGCCAAGCAAGGCCAAAGTGAAGAACAAAGTGCCCTGAGGGAGCCAGCCAGGGCTGCAGAAATGGCGCCGTCCACCCGATAGGCCCTGAGGAGCTTGCCGGATAGCGGCTTAGGGGCTCAGGCAGCCCCAGAACAGTGGATGCCTCGTTCATTTGGAGACCCGCTGCCTTGCACCCCGAAACGTGGCTCTGGCTCCCTTGTGTAAACTCCATCCTCAAGCACAGAGCAGGGCTGTCCACAGAGACCTGGCGCCAGGCCAGGGCAGGCACTGCCCAGGGACCCAGGCTCCACGCCTCCCAGGGAGAGCTGACCCGGAGCAAGCGGGCTCCAGTAAAGGCTGCTGCTGTGGGCACTTGCCCTTTGTCATGGACATTCTTTAGTTGTTTGTTTGTTTGAGACGGAGTCTGTCACCCAGGCCGGAGTGCAGTGGTGCAATCTCACCTCACTGCAACCTCCACCTCCCGGGTTCAAGCGATTCTCCTACCTCAGCCTCCCAAGTAGCTAGGATTACAGGCGCCCGCCACCAATCCTGGCTAATTTTTGTATTTCTAGTAGAGATGAGGTTTCACCATGTTGGCCAGGCTGGTCTCTTAACTCCTGAGCTCAAGTGATCTGCCAGCCTCAACCTCCCAAACTGCTGGGATTACAGGCGTGAGCCACCACGCCCGGCCTTGGACATTCTTGATGACTGTAGATTGATATTCTAAGACTGCTGGTGTCCTGTAGATGCTGGAGTCCAAAATAATTGGAAAGTAAACATTTCAGTCAGCCTCACTTTAGCATATTACATCAAATAGCAGAGCTGAAGTTTTTCAGTATAACCTGCCACATTTAACCCCACTCCTGGGTTTACATATTTCAAACCAAAAGGTACCCAATAACCAAGTGTCGAGAGAGGCCGACTGAGCCGGACATGCTGGCTCACACCTGTAGTACCAGCACTTTGGGAGGCTGAGCCAGGAAGATTGCTTGAGCCCAGGAGCTCAAGACCAGCCTGGGCAACATAGTGAGACCCCATCTCTACAAGATATACAAAAATTAGCCGGGCAGGGTGGTGCACACCTATAGTCCCAGCTTCTCAGGAGGCCGAGGTGGGAGAATCACTTGAGTCCAGGCCGTCAAGGCTGCAGTGAGGGGAGATCGCAGCACTGTACTCCAGCCTGGGCGGCGGGAGTGAGACCCTGTCTCAAAAACAAGGGATGGACTCACCTGGCACAGGAGCCACAGCCCCATCTGAGAAACACTCGCCTCGCTGGTGGGACCGCGGATCACCCACAGTAACACCCAGAGTTAGAAGTGCATCATTGCTTAGATTTTAAAATGACTAAAAGCCCAAAATGGGATTTGCCCTCCGTTTCTACTTCTGCCAACCCAGGAGACTGTTCCAGAAGGCAGAGTGGGTAGAGTGTTTAGGAGCCAGCCGGGAGCCACCTGAGGCCTGAGTCTCAGAGGGCAGCCTCCACCATCCCCCATGTGCCAGAAAGGTGGGGACCACAATGCTCCAGGCTGAGATAGCTCCTCTGCCGTCCGGGTGCTGGAGCACACACTCCTCAACGGGAATGGCACAAGGTGGCTGAGCTCTTCTCCACTTTTTATTTTCCAGAACGTGAGTAAAAGCCTCACACTGAAGAATCCTGGAAGGGTAGCATATGATTCAGGTGGGATAAAGATGTTTTGGGAGAAAAAAATCGAGCATCACGCAAGACACCTGCAGAACGAGGACATGAGGGTTCGCAGGAGCGCCCTGAACAAGTGAGTCAGGATGTACAGTGCGTGGGGGACCCCTATGCCTGAGCCGCACTCGTCACCCAGGGGCAGAGCCCAGCCGGCAGTGTGCCTGGACACAGCCCTAGCCCTCAACCCACCATGAAACCCCTCAGCTCCAGACCTGTGTAAAGAGTCAACCCAGGAGGAAACTGACAGCCTAGTGATCACATTCGGAACAGTAAGTGGGAAATGACAAGACACCACGCTGCTAACCGTGAGACCAGGAGCCCAGATCAAACATCGCTCTCCAGGCAACACCACACCCCAATGCCCACAGCCAGTTCACCCACACCCCAACACCCACACCCACACCCCCTTCCCCCACACCCAACCCCCACACCCCCTTCACCCACACCCCAACACCCACACCCCCTTCACCCACACTCCAACACACACACCCC